GAAATAGGCCTATATAAGAAGATTCGAAAGGTCTATTCATAGTATCGTGCGAAAAATACCATTCCCGATGACCTGAGCCGTAACTTGTTTGCTTTTAGGACTCGAGCATCCATTGTTCGAATCCCACCTTGGGGGCTGAGTACACCACTTCAAATTTGAAGTTGTGTCACGAGTGTCCTTGGGTCACAGGGAAGATGTGAATTTCAAGGAATGCTAAGCATTTTCCATATCACATTCTGTGTTAGGATTGCGGTTGAAGCAAACTTCTATTTTCTATAGCAATCGTCGCCATTACTTTTTTCGTAAGTGAGTATATTTTTGAGACTACCAGTAAATCAGATATATGAGTTGTGTTAAACCTATTTCGTCTAAGGTGATGAAGGTATGTATTATCTTTATGAAATAGGCCTATATAAAGAAGATTCTAAAGGTTCAATAGTTTGGTTGTGTCTATTAAGACTCTGAGTTATTTAGCAAATGCATTCTTTTCGCAAGTTGTTAAAGTAACTAAGATACAATCTGCTTACTTTAACGTGAAAGGAAGCGTTAATTTTGCACTGAGTCTGAGTATGCCATCCACCCCGACTGACCATTCTCATTCAGACTGAACTGCCGCCCCGACCTTTTCTCTGCCTTTTCACCGCCCCCAGGGGATTCTATCTGTACATATGTAGCCACCATAGCAAGCACGTTTCCCTTTTGGGCATGCTTTCTATTTGGGTTTAGTTGCTTGGCCTAACTGAATTTAACTTGAAAACCCTGATTAAAATCCTGCCCCTTGGGGCTACTGTACCAATGGGAAAACCTGTGTTAACAACTGGCCCTTATACCTTACTGATGCGCTGTTAGTAATCGCCTGGACACTGCCATTTAAAATCTAAATTTCATGTGATTTAAAGTCATTTCGGATCAAAGGCCAACATAAAATGGCCCATACATTAGAAATATCCTACAAAAAATTTAGCCGATGAGGCCTTAGGGCAAGCTCGCCGTGTTGCGTTATTTATTTTTTGTATGAAAACATTTAAAACTATCTCTAAGACTTAAATAAGCCTTGCCCTGAAAAATATTTTACCATCCTGACTATACTGGAGTGAGGTTCCAACTTCAACGGAGTCTCATTAGCACCCACAAGGGGAGTTGAACCGGTTTTGGGGCGTAATGGTGATACGCGGCAACTTCGCCACGCCGTTTCTGATCCTTTTGGAGGCTCTGACAATACCTATTCGAGTCAACCAGAGATGAGAAAACCTTTTCGAATACAGTAAAATAGTGTGGTCTATTCATAGTAGCGTGCGAAAAATACCATTTCCGGTGACCTGAGCCGTAACTTGCTTGCTTTTAGGACTCGAGCATCCATTGTTCGAATCCCGCCTGGGGGGTTGGGTACACCAATTCAAAGTCGAAGCTGTAGCTCTGCCTAAACGATAACTGCAATGCTCAGCCAATCTAAATGCTAAATTAAGCCTTTCCTAAAATGCGTACAGGGTAGAATTGCTGTCGGTCCAAGTAACCAAGTGCAAAGATTAATTAATTAATAGTGAATAGGTCAATTAATGTAATTAAAGCTGCATCCACGCAATCAATGGCTGGTGGAGGAGACTCGGCCAAATTAGAGAGTTTACTACATCTGTAGAAGGATGGGGCATAATTTCCGAAAATTTAGTCATGAAGAGTTACCATGAATACGAGCATAACGCTTTCAATCGGAGGTATGAAGACCAAAATGGTCGTGGTCTTCTTTGGATGTATTTAGCTAACTCTAAAAGCATTTCAATGTATCACCTGTATGCAAATAATCAGCTAACCAGTCTTAAACCCAGTTTATTTATATTTAATTCAGTGTTGCACGTAGTGTTGTGTGGATGGATCAGCTTGACCAGAACTTGCAGCGACCGTCAGGTAGGCAGCTGTCAAGCACACAACTGGGAACCGGATCTTCTCCTACCTTTTCACCGTCGACCAATTCAACTCCTCCTCCATCTCCAATCTCAACCGCCGGCCCGGCTGTCCTCTCCTCTTCTGTCTGCCTACCTCATCTTCAATCTCAATTGCAGGCTCAGACGACACCGGCTAAGCAAGCCTCTCAAATCCCCGTCAGAGAGACACTTGCCGACAGAGCATTAGGCAAGACGACAGAATTTCTACCTTCCAATTATTCCGCCACTTTTCAGTCAACATCACCGAATGTGGAAGGTACAGCGACGATTCCGTTTGGTGTGGAGTCGAGCCTTAAGGAGGGCAGAATGGTTCAGATTAATCAGCCACCCGAAGCTGGAGACAAAATGATGTGCAAAAGGAGTACAGCCAACCAAATGTCCAATTATGCCACACCCGCTTCGTGCACAGGCCTCCGAGAGGCGGCAGATCCGAACAGAACCGCTGAAACAGTGCCTCGACGGCGGCGCATTCTGCCAGACAACCCGCCCCAGCGACAAGGCTTTTCAGGCAATCTGACATTGAGCTAATGTGAATTTAAGCCGTAAGTGCATCCTACTACTCACAAACTCTGTCAGTAGCAGCTGTGAAATTGTTTCAGGAATCGTGGGGCAAAATGACTCCTTCTACACAGCCTCAGGAGATATGGTGTAAAATTAACATGTTAGACTGTCAGAACAAGCCTAAGTTTATTTTCCATCTTAGACACACATGTCTATTCACAGTAATTGGAATGCGTTCAGATGAGGCTCTTCTAGCTATTTACTCCGTAGAACTAGGGACAATTTTCCGGACTTGAGTCGCATCCTTCTCAGCCGTCTGCCTTGCAAAAGTCAGTCGCCCGACCACCGATGATACAAGATTATTTGCATGTGGGCTCACCAGGGGCCGTTGGTGTCAATTATTCGTATCCGAAAAGTGGATTTCGGCTTTAATGTCTCATTCAACTTTCATGGTATTCAGAAGGTATCCGTCTCCATTTCTGTCCATTACTACATCCGATATCCTCTTATATTTACTATGGTCTTTCCATCGTTTATTGAGCCCTCTTTTCCTAATTTTAAGTTCCTGACCTGATCGATTTGACAATAGGCAAATATAATCTTCCTACGACTTTTTTGTCATCCGGCTGGCGAGTCCCTTGAGTAAAGTAAAATTGACGCTGGGATGGACATGCCAGGGTATCTTATGAAAAAAACCTTGTCCCCATTCAGTTCGCCTAATCTGTGAATTGTCGAAAGCACACCCATCTTTATATATGCAGACTTGGCGATAGGCAAGCTCTTTGTGCACCGAGATAACCATTTAAGATCTTTTCAATTCAATGTGAGTAGCTTTCGAGGCTATCAATAATTCCTGACCAAGAACTTAATCACACTGCATCTTTTCATGTGATTGAAGCAATAAAAGTTGGGTTTTCCCACAATAACAACAGTAGGCCCCACAACGCCATTCAATTCCACTCAATTTTGCCTCCCAAAAGTTTGTTTTGAACATATGCCATGCGGTCCAGTGGTGCTAATAGTCGTATTTTGGATACGCTACACGCGACCCAGCATCGAATACTCCTAGAGGTGCTGATGGAACATTGAGGCATGATTGAAACTGTAATCCATTCTGGAAGAGGATAAGAACAATTCAATGGAATCGTGAGAACTCATTTCATTGGAAGAAAGAGTGTACCTTCAATCCTTAAATCGCCTTGAGTGACCTAGGGTGGCGAAATTCCTGTTAGTAAATTAGATTTGAGTTGGCAATCATGCTCTGATCAGTCATATATTTTAAAAAGCTGGCTACATTTATATCACATACAAAGAAAAGTTGGGTTACGAGGAATCTCTTGTTCCATAATTGTTGAGCTTACTTCCATTTTGAGTTAAGTGAAGAGATTCGAAGGTCGGTTCCACCAGAAGACGACGGCGAAAACCTGAACATTCATGCTGACGCTGAGGCAAGCTCCTTCGATTCCGGTGCAAACGTGCTAAGTTTTTGTCCGTCATATGATGGACATCATCAGAGCGAGGTAAC